GGGCTGATCCGTGTCGATCAAAATAAACAATTCTATTGGCTTTAGGTCACGTGATGGACCCGGCTTTAGACGACCCCCGTAATTTGTAAGTTTCGGTAATTTGCAAAAAGTGATTGGTTGAATCATACGTCATCGTAAACTTTACACAGAGTCTATGATAGTTCGATAATGCTAGCCAAGTTTTTCATATTGCTGGTAATCTTCCCCGGCGCAGCAACTATCCTAGCGTTACCAACCTAAACCATTTCACTGGCCAATCAGATTTCAAGATCAGATGTGACGCAGAAGAAACGCAAAAAAACCAAAACAACCCAAAAAAAAATCGCCCATAACTCAACATTTTATCTATGAAACCACCTTCTGCGCACTAACAACAAGTTTTCCTTACGAAATTTTGGTACTAATGAGGCTCTTTTTGACCTAAAATAATAGCAAAACCTAACCCTAATCTAACAGCGAAATTTTTTAGGTTGATCAGTTCAGCGAAGCCAACAAAAAACCTCGGGCACGTGAGTAGCTTTGGCTGTAAAGATATCGATATTAACACTAATGTTAATCCGACATCAATAAAACAACTTTCTTTTTTTTGTTTTTAATTTTTATAATCGATCTTTCTTTTTTACATGAAATGTAAATTTTATAACGAATTTATAACTTAATGCACGGTGCAATATATTGCACCCCTATTATAACTATATGAAGATCATCAAATTTTGTGTAATGAAAAATTTTTATTAAAGCAACAAATAAATTTTGATTAATGGTAGGATTAGCGTTAGGGTTAAGATCTGGGATGAAACAAGGATATATAGTAGCAGGTAGGTTATATCAAAATTTTACGGCAATCCAATTATAAGATCGTGTAACTAGTGATTATTTTTCACTGTGCGGACTACGCAGCATACGGAAAAAATTTTGCATTTTTTTTTTGAACAGATGTGCGGATGCTACACAGAAAATTAACATTTTGTAAATAGTGCGCACGGTTGCAAACAGTTGCTCGTAGTTTTTTTATTGGCTGCACAGAAAAAGTTTACAAATCGTCCGCACAGTAAGTTTTAATTAACACCGTGTGTAACTATTGATATAACCCAAACGTTCCAAACGATGTGATATTTAGTATAGCATATCCACCGATTTGGTTTCACCCCAAAATTAGTCGAGAATTATTTGCTATTAAAACTTATTACAAAGTGAGTTTTTACAACAACGGTCTTTTAAACTTACTTTTAATCCATAATTAAGTATATAGAATATTTTAATATTTTTTACATGTTTAATTATTAGCTGAAAGTAAGTTAAAAAGGTAGTTTTTCTGAAAATTGCTTCCGAATTTATCCTTACCCATTATACAACCGATCGTTCAATGACAAACCGACCCGAACACTTCAACAAACTAGTGATAATGCTTCCTTTTACAGCTTGGCGTAACTGTTCTTTGAATATTTATTGCTTATTTATCTCATATAGAGGCCAAAAAAAACTATTTTATTTGAAGGTTTCGTTTGTTATTCTTTACGTCATTTAATAGCAGAAGTTTGTGTAATGGTTTATCGAAAAAAGACCCCTAAAAATCAAATCGGTGGATATGGTATTAGTTTCGACTGCTTTTGTTATTTCGAAATTAGGGATCGAGTATATAGTAATTTATATTCCTCACGTGACTTTCACTTTATCAAATTCAACTTAAAAACTACCTGGCTTTTGATAGTTTAGGTTACGTCGCTACATATAACATACGAAAAAAATATAAAATAAATAAAGATGAAATATTATATATATATATATATATATAGCTATTTTGCATTAATGCAAATATTACAGTAATATCTAATAGATATTTATATAACGATAAATGAGTCAAGAGACTTATTAATGTCAAATATCAAATTTAACTCATTTTTAACTACAAGAATAGCTGTAAAAATTTTTTTTTTTTTGCCATGAATAAAAACATAAACTTGGATAAAATCTCTAATCCCAGTTTTGCTATCCTAGGGTTGTTAAAAGGTTCATTAAAGTAGGTCCTTTGAATCTATTTAGCATCAATGTGCAAAGTCCTAAAAATCACATGAAATGAGTGCGTGAGAGTGACCAATCATAGTAATTAAATCTATTTCCAGGTTTACCCAAATATGTAACACGGATATGTTAATTTTTAAACCCCCTTAATTTCAGATTGAACTTTTTAAGGTCAGGCCGAAACCTGTCCATTCAACATTATGCATGAACCAACATTCAGATAGGCTTTTTATCCACCGATTTGACTTTTAGAGCTGGATCGGACCGGGCAGGCCCTAGTTCAAAATCTAAGAAACCTTTAATGGAGTCAAAATTACAGTTTAAGAAAGAAAAGTGATACAAAAATTTGATTACAGAATAACTAAAATCCGTGTGACGTTACCGAAATGCCAGAATGCCAGAATGTCATAATGCATTACTATAAGATCTTATTCTACGAATAATAAATAATTCTGAAATTACATTGTATAATGATTTTTTTTTAAAAAAAGAACTATTTCCGCGAAATTCCTATCGATTCGCTTTTCTTTTTTTTAGGTATAAAATGGTTTACGTACGTACGTTCGTAATATGCTTTCTCAATTTGATTTCTTATACTCATCTAAATTTTATTTACAATATAGTGTTTATTATTTATCATGTCAGAACAAATATCTGAACAATCTATAAAATTAAATTTGATTGAAAACAATTTAAAATTTACAAAGTTAAAGGGTTCTGAATTTTTTGAAAATCTTGCTGATGAACAAAAACCTACTTCTCTTTTGATTTGTAATATCATAAAGAATTGATTATCCTTCTTCAAATATTTTCTTATTCTAATTTTTTGTTATAACTTGAAATTATTTTAACTATAGGTTGCTCTGACAGCAGAGTTTCTCCTGAATTAATCACTCAATCTGATCTTGGTGAAATTTTTGTTCTTCGAAATGTCGCAAACCAATTCAAACGGAAAGATCCTAGTGCTTTAGCTGTATTAGAATTCGCTGTGGAAAAACTTGGGGTCAAACACATATTTGTGTGTGGTATGTAATAATAATATAAATTGTCGCGGCTGATTCTGATGTTCCATTCAAAATCTAAATCTTTAGACATAACTACAAACTATAAAAATAAATATGAAAATAGACCTAAATCTAATTTCAGCATTAGCAGTAATGTTAATTTATAAACACTATATTACAATTTCATATAATATAATATAGGTCATTATGGATGTGGTGGTATTAGTTATATTATAGATCCTGTGTGTAAGTATTTAAATTTTTTAAATAAATAAATGAGGTTGAGTCAATAAAAATCAAGCAAATTTTTTCTAAATAAATTTTTTTTAAACTTTAAACAACAATAACTCAACAAAATCTTAATCAAATTTAATAAAATTTTTTTTAAATAAATTTTACAAACTTATAGAATTTGTTTAAAAAAAATTTTATTAAATTTGATCAAGTTTTGGTTAAGTTATTGGTATATAAAG